CAAATTCTGTTCCATTTCCACATTATTTTTCAAACAGTGTGGTGGTCTGAATCGGAATGGCCTCCAGAGGCTCATAGATTTGAATTCTTGCTCTTTAGGACACATGACTTTGTTGGGGTAGGTGTGGCCTTGTTGGAGGAAATGTGTCTCTGGGGGTGGGCTTTGGGATTTCAAATGCTCAAGCCAGACCCAGTATTTCTCTCTGCCTGCTGCCTGCAGATCTGAATGTAGAACTCTCAGATACTCCAGCACCATGTCTGCCTGCATGCTGCCATGCTTCCAGCCATGATCACAATGGACTAAACCTCTGAAATGTAAGCCAGACCCAATTAAATGTTTTCTTTTATAAGGGCCAGGATGTCTTTTATAAGGTCATGGTATCCCTTCACAGCAATAGAACTTGGACTAAGACAATCAGTTCATTGAAAACTTTCCTTTAAAGTTTATGAGGAATTTGTATAAAGACAGGGCAGAACTAAGAAGAGTCAACTTCTGTATTAAGATGCAACATTTATTAAGAATCTAATGCATGTATTAAGATAAAAAAAGCATTTTTGTGGGGATGGACAAGGAATTATTTTGGTTAAATATTCCTCCAGCCCTTAAAGAATGACACATAGGAAGTTCACATGTCAGAGCAAATTTTTAGCTACAGAAATTAAACATGGTACCTCTCTCATACTGGGAAAAAATGGTTAACATTGTTCTTTACAAATCTACTATTGAAACCTTTAGCAAACTTAGCAATTATGTATCTTTCAGCATCTTATTAAACTTTAATAAATCTTTGCACTTTGTGGTGCAGTATGAAATTCCAATGCATGTGTACAGTGCTGATCAAATCAGATGCTTTCTGTTTTATATTGCACTCAGGCTCAAATAATCATACCCCCACAGTATGTGGTGGCGAGATTCTCTTTGGTTGTGTGAGAGGGACCCAGAATGTTTTCTGAAAAGGAAAGGTTCATCTATAGCACTCTATGACTCAGCCCACTTCCATCCAAGGTTTACCTGTATATGACTAAACCCACTTCTGTCCATCTCTATTCTGACATACAGCCTGGGATCACTCCTGAATTTTTCTCAAAGGACTATTAATTTGTATTAATGCTAAAGCTTACATTTTTCTCATAATTGGTAACATAAAGCATTTCTATTCATAAAGAATACAACCTTGAGTTTTCTGATGCCACTCTATGATCAAAAGTCATAGAAGTTTAGTACAGGTGGATTGCCTAATGCTGCACAGTCCACGGTTCCCTCCAACAATAAGACTTAAATTATCTGCCAGAGAATATTAATTCTGATTTAACACATATTTTATGAAGAAGAAGAAAACAGGTTTCCTAAAGTTTGGGGCACTGAAAAAATAAATTCAGAGAAACCATGCTCCTATATAAGAGCTTGGACACATTGAAAAAGGGTGCTTTGTCTTATATTTATATATGAGTTCAAATTTGAATGTTTTAATTTTAATTCTCTTGAACAGCAGGCAAATAGTAAAAGGAGTGCTGTCCATAATTGATCTAATAAATAAACTTCCAAATTCATGTATTGTCATATCTAGTTATTCTATGTTCAACTGTTTAAGCAAAATCCCATTCCACATTACAGTTGATAAATTAAATGAACATAAAGTGTTTTGTGTATTTTTGGAGAATTAAAATGAAAACTTTTACATTGATAAATTACTCAGAAAGAAACCTTTCTGTTGAGTAGTGTAGAAAGAACATATAAATAAATCAGGGATCTTCTTGCATGCAGCAAGAGACACAAATCTTAAATTTACAAAGACCCATCTTCCTCCATGAGCCTAATCAATTATTCTTTGTGCCCCTAAAATTACTAGTATATGAATGTTTTCCATTGCCTTCTTTGACACCTTGAACATTTTTAGTACTTGAAATAATATTCTCCTACAATTAACATTTTAAGAATGGGTTTCCTGCCGGGCGGTGGTGGCGCACGCCTTTAATCCCAGCACTCGGGAGGCAGAGCCAGGCGGATCTCTGTGAGTTCGAGGCCAGCCTGGGCTACCAAGTGAGTCCCAGGAAAGGCGCAAAGCTACACAGAGAAACCCTGTCTCGAAAAACCAAAAAAAAAAAAAAAAAAAAAAAGAATGGGTTTCCTTCAACTGATTACAAACTACTGATGAAACAGAAGCAAGTTTGTCCTTTAGGTTTTATCATAATAATTACGAGTATGATAAGATAGTGACTGAGAGTCAAGGTTATTCACCACCTTGCCTCATAAAAATCTAATCTCATTCAATAAAGTACTATACAGCCAGAAATGTAAGTATTTTCATGGAGAACGTCTTTACCATGAAGAAGCCTGTACAGATAATTACGAAATACTTCTAAAATATGGGCAAAGCCTTATGATTAGAGTGGCCATGTAATTTATCATTCAAATTTGATAATGACCCTAAAATATTTATGGAAAAATAAAGAACTAAGATCAGCAAAAACATGTTTGAAAAAAAGAATAAAGAAACTTCCTATTCCAAATATCACAACTTATTTCTAAATGACTATAATTAAAAGTACTTACAAGAGACACAAGAATAGGTAGTTCAATTCATAAACAGAACATAAAATCTAGAAACAAACACCTGTATATATGGAAATATTAAATATTACAGTAGAGGTACTGCAAGTGAGAAAGGAAGCTATAGTAGTCTGTAAACTATAGTATGACAATTCATTATATGAAAAATTAAAATGTAATTTTACTTAGGCATGTACCTAAGATATATCAAGCTTACCACCACGTGATAAATATTCAAGAATTTCAAAAGTATACTGGTAAACCACTGGCACCTGGAATTCATCCAGTGAGAGGTCTGTACAATGGAAATCAGTACATGCTACATACCAAAGCTCTCCCACCTTCTGGAGGTTACCAGCATATTACTGGTTGAACTTGTATCTTACATCATATATGGATGGGTTAAAAATCTAAGTGAGCCGGGTGGTGGTGGCGCGTGCCTTTAATCCCAGCACTCGGGAGGCAGAGGCAGGCGGATCTCTGTGAGTTCGAGGCCAGCCTGGGCTACCAAGTGAGTTCCAGGAAAGGCGCAAAGCTACACAGAGAAACCCTGTCTCGAAAAACCAAAAAAAAAAAAAAAAAAATCTAAGTGAACCAACCAAAATTCAAGACTTAGAAATTCAAGGAAATATACAGAGGAGAATCTCTTTTAAATCTCGGGATTTGAAAGAAGTTTTGAACAATAAGTCAAGTCATGTAACTCAAAGGACAAATTTGTTAACTCTGACACTTAAAAATAACTTTAAAGTTACATCACAGTAGTCACTGGAGTATAGTACTTTACAAATTAGAAAAATAAGCCCAGACCAAGGAATTACAATTTCTCGCTCTATATTTTTCTAAAAGATTCGTATTCACAATTATAAAAGGCCATCCAAAAATCAATAAAAATAGGTGTGTAGTCCAACTGTAAATTTTTTAAAGACTTGAAAGAGAACCTTATCTAGAAGAGTATATATCAATGTTCAATAATCACAGAAAAGTTTTCAGCATTATCAGTGATCAAGGTAACATGAAGGGTTTCACTTTTTCCAAATTAAATGTGATAAACTCATATGTTAACCAATAGCAGGGCAAACACAAACATCTGTGGAGAAAGAGTGAATTGAGAAACCTAATTTTAAGAGCAATTTGCAGTGTGAAGCCAGCAAACTGAAACTGTCCCAGCATGGATTGCTGGCTGTCCCTAACATCTGCTCACATCTTCATTTCTCACAATAGAGAGGGGAATGAACACAATTTACAATGTTTTATTTCTTGAGGACAGAAAGCATTAATGGTCATGATATTTCTCACCTATTGATGCTTCTAAAATATTTCATATTTTGAAGATGTTTAGTTTTTGAGTAACACATTATCTCCTCTTTGATATGGCATACGTAAGTACCTAGTAGGCATCTATATAAATCATTTTTTGTGTGGAGTTTTTTTCTTGAAAAAATATTATGCCACCCCTCTTCTCTGCCACCTCTTCCCTCTCCTGGTCCCACATAACTGCAGATTCTCTAAAATATCTTCCCAGCAACTGTACAGCACAAACTTGTGCATAGAAGTCATGATCTTTGTAATTAACATATCACCCTATTATTGGATACATGTGAGGAGTGTTCTCATGTAAATTAAGACATGACTGAGACCTATGCAATTTTTTTTGTCAATCTTATGAGACATTTTCTTTTTTTTAATATTTATAGTATTGGCTATTTCAAACTAAAGTTCTTTCCGTGTGTCAAACTCTTCTTACAGAATATTTTCAAGGGCCAATTACAAAAAATAAGAACCAACACTCTCCTAGGACACATTTCAATCATGCATAGATCATCAAAATGAGGATGCTAATCTTAGTCTGGAAAGCTGTCAATAAAACTACTGTACTATAATAAACGTCTTAACTGATTAAAATATTCTCCAGGCACAAACCATATAAAATCTTACTAGGAAAAGAAGTTAAAATGTGCTTCGACAGTCAACAGAAGATCTGAGAGAAAGCATCATATTTGGGGATGAGGTGGGGATATGGATATGTATATACCAGCAAAACTGGTTCCACACAGTGGCTGCAGGCATTATCTGCGTATGTAAACAGAAAATAAAAGGGGACCACAAAACTAGATGAAAAGGGACGTTACGTGGAAATGAAATGGCTAAATCCCAAGAGGACCCAGATCTCTCAAAAAGCAGGAAGAGAACAGTGCTGAGCTCTGCCACCGTCCAGATTCAAGTAGATGGTAAGCAAGGGTCTTCCCCAACGCAGTCTAATTTCCTTGGCTAAGCAGGCTCACTGGGCAAAGCCAGAAACCTATTTCCAGGAGAGCCGGCAGGACGCACTGCTGCAGAGACAGCCTAACCTCCCAGCGAGGCGCACGCGTACCGCGAACGCGCGAGCCGCCGTCCCTCCGCCCTAGCCTGAGAGGAAGTGACGCAGGCCGAGGGGGCGGGTGCGTTCTGCGCCGGAAGTGCCTGCCAGACAGTAAATAAGCACAGAAAAGCAGGCGAGAAGCTGTCTCCATCTTGTCGGCAGACGCTGGGCCCCGGACGCGGAGGCGATGGGGAGCGTGCTGGGGCTGTGCTCCGTGGCGAGCTGGGTAAGGCGGCCTGGGGTTGGCGGCCGGTGCGGGCTGGTGCGGGCTGGTGCGGGCCGGCTTTTCCGTCCTTCCCCCGGTCTGTGCGGCTCCGCTTCGGGGCTGGAGCCGAGCGAGGAGGGCGAGGCCGGGCGGACAGGGGAGCCGCCCGAGCTGCCAGCTCCCTGTGGCAGTTCCCTGCGGTGTCAGCCTCGGCCGTCGCTGTTCCAGCTCCTTCCTCCGGTGGGCACGTCGTCTCTTCCTGTCCCTTGGTGCCCGGGCGACCTCGCACTGCGGCACTGTCATTCCCGGAGGCCTCTTTTGTTCTGACGCGCAGCCTCCGGGGAATCGGGCCCGTTATTTGGAACAGGTTTGATTGACAGCGGTGTCGAAGGTAGTCATCTCGTTTTTGAAATAAAATAATCTCTCTTAGTACCTTCTTCAGCTTTAGGGGCTTGAATCCTCATACTTCCAAATGTCTGCTTCTAGAAAAGCTCTTCGGTTTCGTGGTACTTAATTTTTTTTTTTTTTTGACGTAAGACATGGGCGTGCAATCTGAAAGTCGATGCTTTGTAAGGGTATGCTGCGTTTCGTTAGACAGTACAACCATCTTTAGTATAATGGCAGGATTTCGTAACCCAGAGGGCACAGACAACCCCATTCCCCAATAGACAAAACATTGGCGAGGCAGTTTATAATAACGAGCTTCATTGCTTTGGGCGAGGTTTTATGGATTCAAACCTGTGATTTCTAAGTTTAACCCTAAACAATTTTCTGACTTACCAAATGGTTCCATTGCATGTACATTAACGAACATACTGGCCAATTTACATGCTTCGTCTCTTAAAATATGCTTTGGTATAACGTGAATTATAAATGCTTAATTTTTATCAAGTACTGTGTGGAAGTTCTTGCTCCTGCAAGCTATTCTCTTGAATTTCTATTTGCAGTCGGATTTTAGAACTTGACCATAGAAATTAAGAGAGTCTAATGGGGTCTGTTGAACCACCTATACAGAAGGCAGAATTTAGTACAATAAAAATTAATAAATAAGCCCGGGTGATTGTGGTGCATGCCTTTAATCCCAGCACTCGGGGAGGCAGAGACAGGCGGATCTCTGTTGAGATTGAGGCTAGCTCCGGTCTATAAAGTGAGTTCCAGGACAGCCAGGGCTACACAGAGAAACCCTGTGTCGAAAAGCAAAAACAACAACAACAACAAAACAAAAAAACAAAAATTAGTAAATAAGGGTGTAGGAAGATGATTCAGCTAGTGCTTGTTGCTTTCTTCTAGATAATGGAGTTTGGTTCTCAGCACCCGCCTCTGGATGTTCACAACTGCCTGTAACTCCAGCTCCAGGGAATCTGATTTCCTCTTCTGCTCTGACCTTGTCTCCCCCCGGGAACATTCTACCACACAGACACATATGCATACATATAAGAATTATAAATAGAGCCGGGCGGTGGGTTCGAGGCTGGCCTGGATTACAGAGTGAGTTCCAAAGCTACACAGAGAAACCCTGTCTCAAAAAACCAAAAAAAAAAGAATTATAAATAGTTATTATGAAACTTTTCCTTTTTTGATATGTTGAGTTATTTGATGTGTAACTCTGAAATTAGTTGGTTGTGATGTGGGCATAAAGCAATTCTATTGAGATCATAGGGATGGAGGGATATGAATTCCCCATTTTATTATTTTCCAGTTCACTTATGAGCACCTATTTTTGATCTCAAGGTCAGTGTTTCCTTTTTTAAAGTTTTAAGCAATTTTTTGTATATGTGTATTTTAAGTCAATATGGCCTTGGAAAACACCATGGGATAAATTACGTTAGTATTTCTACAACTTAGATTGCCACTTTTGTCCACTAAAAGAATGCCTTTGATAAAACTGACACTGCCTTGCCATCATCTTTTATTAGCACACTGAAAAGGTAGTAACAATATGCAGGGTTAAATCTGACAGGAGCTAAGTGGTCACGTTGTTCACCCTGATTCTGCTTCCTGATGACTGAGCTGAGGATTCATGGTATATAATTTGAATCATCCCTTTTGTTCTGTATGCTTGTCTCTATTTTAATTATTGAATTTCAGTATATATCTGTAAGTAGAATTTGCCCTATGACACAGTATCTTTTTCACATTTCCAAGTTAATATGCTCATTTACTTGAAAGCTTTTGATAAAATAAAATTTTATTCAAATATTTCTATCATTGAAATCATTAAATTATGTAGCTATAGTTTTCCTGCCTGGCCCACAGTCAGGACAAATCTCTGTCACCTGCCAGTCCCACAGCTGCTCAGACGCAACCAAGTAAACACAGAGACTTATATTGGTTACAAACTGTATGGCCATGGCAGGCTTCTTGCTAACTGTTCTTACAGCTCAAATTAATCCATTTCCATTAATCTATACCTTGCCACATGGCTCGTGGCTTTCCGGCATCTTCACATACTGTTTGTCATCATGGCAGCTGGCAGTGTCTCTGACTCAGCCTTCCACTTCCCAGCTTTATTCTCCTCCTTGTCCCGCCTATACTTCTTGCCTGGCCACTGGCCAATTAGTGGTTTATTTATTGACCAATCAGAGCAACACATTTGCCATACAGAACATCCCACAGCACTTCCCCTTTTCTTTTTTTCTTTTTTCTTTTTTTTTTTCAAAAAGGAAGGTTTTAACCTTAACAAAGTAAAATTACATATAATTTGGGAATTTGGGCGTAGCTTCTCTTACTACTTCCTGCGGGAGGGGGGCGCTGTATCTTATGGGGACACAAAGAAAATTTTAGGATTATGGAATAGTCCATGAGGGTGTATTGTCTGAGCCAGTTGCCTTCAAACCATTCTGGATGTTGGATCATCTGGGCCATGGTGTCATCGGAGACCTTTCAGGGGGTCTTGGCTGGTCAAACCTGATGTATCTTAATCTGGAACAAATCCATAGCCTCTGGCTTTCTGTGGGAACAAAAGCAGAGTCTCCTTTCCAAAGCAACATATCCTTATATCCAAATTTTGAAGTCAAGGTACCTTTAAAATACACATTTTGGCATAACTCAACAGCTTTTACAATCAAATGTTTTTCTGCAGTTAAAAATCCCAAAGACAACACAATCCAGATTCTCTGTGTAATATTCATCTTCATGTGGCTTATTTTTTATATTAATTTTACTGTCTCTTTAAAGACTTTATTTTTTAAAACTATGTAGGGCGCCATTAACCCATCTTTTAAAGGCTTACTATTTGAACAATTTTTGCAGACTTAGTCAAATTTAGTAATTCTTCCCTTCTTGTTCATAAAAGAATTACAGAATATTGTTACTGAACTTAAAAAAGTATGAAAGAAAAATTACAGGTAAGGATCTCTGGACCTATTATCCAATCATAGATCTACAAATATTATCAGCTACTAATTAACATACCTTTCTCTAAGCTGAGGTCAACATTGGTGTTTTGAATAGGATTGTTTTTTTATAATTAGACCTTGTAAACAATCACAATCTATTCTTTTCCCAAATTAGTTAATGTAGTTAAATAATTAAGAAGAAGTAGGTAGGAATGACCAGATACTGATTTCCTGCCATTGTAGTTCAATGACCTTTTCTTCCTTTTTTTTTTTTTTCTTTTGGGGGGTGTGTAGAAATTATTCCTGGTTGCTATGGGACATAGAACAGTTTGGTGGGACTTGTCAGCTTTATAATGAAATGATCTAGTATTGCCATTTCCAGCAGAAAGCTCATCTAAGGCTGTTGGTGCACTGGAGAAAACTTGCAGCTTCCTGTCTGCAAAGGATACCTATATTTGGGGAGCCAAGTGTGGTGAAGTGTCCATTCTGCATATAAAGCATGATTTTATGTAGTTAGTACCTTGTCAGCTCTACTTGGTGCTCATCTGTCTACCAGGGGCCTTGTTTTGTTCTCCTCAGTTCTGTCTTTCCCTCTTGAGTTTTACATCTTTTATTCCTATCTCCCATGTTGGCCAAGATCCTCAATGTAAATGTAAACACCCATGCTTGCCTTGTTTTAGATGGCAGAAAAAAAAATGCGTTTGATTTAAATGTAGATGAGAATGATAGCTATTTTGTAAATTCCTTTTTTTAAGCCTAGGATATTCCAGCTCTATTCCAGTTCATAGGCTGAGGGTATTGAATTTCATCATGTAGCTTTTCTGCATGTATTGAGATGACCAGGTTGAGGTTTTTCCTTAGTTTTTTTTTTTTTTTTTTTTTTTTTTGGTTTTTCGAGACAGGGTTTCTCTGTGCAGCTTTGCGCCTTTCCTGGGACTCACTTGGTAGCCCAAGCTGGCCTCGAACTCACAGAGATCCGCCTGGCTCTGCCTCCCGAGTGCTGGGATTAAAGGCGTGCGCCACCACCGCCCGGCCACCTTAGTTTTTTAATACAGTGAATTAAATTGGTTGAGCCATATTTTTGCCCCACACTAAAACTTAACTTGGTAACAATATTCTATTCCTTTTATATTTCTACTTGATGTGCTAAAATTTAGTTATTAATTTTTATGTTTATGTCCAGGATGATATTAATCTATTGTTTTTCTTATAGCATCTTTAGATTAGTACTAGTAATTCATGTCTATGTCTTCAGTAAGAATATATATTCAATATCTCTGATAGTTTGCATCTTTTAGATTTGGTTTCCTTCCTATTTTTGTTCCTAAAAAAGTCCATCTTTTGCTTTAACTTTTGAAAACTATTATCACTGACTACAAAATTAAAGTGTTTTTTTTTCTCTCTCTCTTTCAGTACTGACTTTTGTCTGTAACTATTTCTTATCACCAATGTTATTATTGTCTTTTTTCCTCTATATAAATATGCCTTTATTTATATTATTTTTGCCTGGTTTTAAGATTTTTCTGGTTATTACTATTTTTAAACAATCTGTTATGGTGTTACTTAGTATAATTTTTTATCATGTTTATTTTGCTGAGGTTTTATTTAACTTGGATATGTGAATGTGTAGTTTTTATTGAATTGAGGGAAATTTGGTAATTATTTCTGCTGGAGTTCTCCCTT